AACAGCCTATACCTGATTGTGAGTTTTGTGCCTATCTTCCCAACAGCAAACGTTCTTATTAACCTCAGGAGATGAAGGTTAGGGCAACAGAAACTTCACTGTTAGAACGACTGCTAGATCGATGCAAACCAAGAAACCGCTGCATACAACTGAGATTTCCCATCACTCATCTTTTCTCTCTCGACCCTTTTCTCCTGTTACCTTATCAATAGAATGAACCATTGATGACAATTATTAATGTACCCACAACTTGAATATGACCTTAGCCAAAAGAAAGGAAGATTGACCGATTGATAAGAACGGATGAGTAGCATACAAACCTTTTCTGGAAGCCCAGAAAGCAGTGGTGTGTCAAAAAGACCGGGTGCAATCGCCATGAATCGAATTCCATCATCGGCAAAATCTCTGGCGAGTGGAAGCGTCATTCCAACGATCGCACCTTTTGACGCCGAATATGCTGACTGAAAGGAAAATGCTTGAACCAACCAATTCAACGCTACACGAGCAACAATCTCAAACCTGGCCGGTCTGTCCATCGAACGCGGCCACAGATGCAGTGCTTATTACGACACCACGCTGACCGGCCTCATCTTTCGAGTTTTCACCCATCAGTGCCACCCCATGCCGTATCACATTAAATGTTCCCATGACGTTGACCTAAAGTTCAAGACTAGCTCAGAAATTCACAGCAATACAGAATGAATTTTCAACCTCAATGGTCTTTCGTATTTTCTCTGGATCGGCCATCTTCTTCTTAGTAACGCTGTACAATTTGAATGCCATTGCAACACCAGCACAATTAACCACAGCATCACACCGACCGAACTTGCCCTTCACTTCTTCAAAAGCTGCTTGAACCTCCGAATCGGTTGTGATCTAGAAAACCACAGGCAATAAATAAATAAGCCCAGAGAGGTAAAACTTGAATCATGGTTAGTGCTCTGTAGGTAAAAACTTCTTCTAAATGCACAACTTTCGAAAGCTGAGTTCTTTACGATTTACCCATTCTGCTCTCGAACAATGCGAGCGAGATGTCATATCTGGCCCAGAGAGCGGAGTTCATGAGCCTGAGGGCCTGCGATCCGAATCGCGGCGATATCGTCATTGATAGGTGGAAGGAGGGGGGATGACGCAGATAGAAAGCACAAATTTGTGAGAAAAGCCAATAAAATGTATTCATTTCAAGTTCGGTCCATCTATTTCTTGCTACATCAACCCAGTGAAACGCGAACATTGCCTTAGGCCGTAGGGAGAATGACGAGCATGTAAAGTTTATACAGTCAATGAGACTAGATCGCATCTGTAGGCCTAGGCTTTTATCAAAATACGGCAGTGATCTAGTAAAATGCCTTCAATCTTTTTAACACCTTGACGACAGCGCGGCAACTAGGTTTGCCGCGTTTTGCACGCCGCAATGGACATTGTGGCAACTATAGTTGCCACACCCTTTACATTCAGTTTTTTCTTGAACGCGCCATTTCTTCCCAGGTTTTTTGTGTTCATTTTTTAGGCCATACCACAACATAACCAAGAACCACGCGGCTTATAGAATGACCAAATATTCTTTAGTTTGGCAGAGGTTTTTCGGACCGGACGAAAATATCCGTTCAGTTCATTCCTCATTTTCTCTTCATTAACACGAACATGTAGATAAAAAAGAATATTAGAAGTGAGTACAAAGCTACTCGTGTGGCAAGATATGTGTTTTTACCGAAACAACCACGTCCAAAATAATTTTGAAATCACTAAAGCAAAAGTAAGTGAAACTTGCCTTTTCAATGCTGTAACACATCATTCGACCGCACTTTCACATGTGTACCTTCCAATAAGTTTGACACACCGAATATCAGTGAAAACATTTTGTCGCATCGAAGTATTGCGTATTTAAGCTCAAAATCCACAGATTTGTTGTGAGGCGGCGGCGCTCGCAGAACCGCTCTGGTCCCACGCGGCCAAAAATGCCAAAACGCGCGATGTCGTCAACGTGTTAAAGGGCGAAGCTTCGCAGCGATCTTTGCCATGAATTTTAAAGTATTCGATTCAACTATAAAAAAGAGGTGCAATAGAATACTGAGTTTTCGAGACTCAAAAACATTTTAAAAACGAGATTTTTTAACCGGAAAATTTTCCAAAACGCCTTTATTACCTATCAGTGGCCTGGATATTACAGTTTTCAATTTTTTTCGTCTCCACAACAAGCGTTTTTAAGAGGTTGGAATTATTTGAAGTTGAATACTTAAAAAAAACTGCCCAAAAGCCTTTCAAAAATTTGAGCGCGCTATTTTGGAGAAAAGAAGTTCAAGGAACCAATTGAGCTCTTATTAGATCAAACGGCCAGTTACGTTCGCTTGCTCCAGTATTCCGGTTGTCGCAGAAACTGACAGAAGCAAGCTCTTATAGACGCACTACGAGGCGACACACCGATGCACATTCCCCAAAAGGCGCAGCAAACAAATCCCAAATAATGTCCCACGTAGAATTTTTTCAAAAAGACTGTGACAAAAATGTTCTTGCTCTTGGTAAAGAAGCTGGAAACCCGTATTTCCTTGTCAGCGCAATCACTGTGAGCGTAAACATTCTATAGAAAACGAATGCTGAAAGTCCAGAATCGCATTTGCCACGAAAAAAATCCGTGAATCACGGAAAAAAGTTTGAAAAGACTTTCAAAAAAAAGGAAGATATGAATCTCATATCTTTTTCAACAACCGTACAAGAGTCGCATGAGGAATTGCAAGCTTCAAAAGAAACTACGCGTTTGGGTCCAAATTGCTTGAAATTCTATTTCTCACTGCTAACAACATGAATTTCTCAGATTTACAAAGTAATCCCCAGTCGGTTTCCGAGAATTGAAGCCTCTCAGGCCCCACATCGACCTAAAGATCTAAGAACTGTCAATTGTAAAGACGTTACGCCCTCTTGGAGAGTTCCCCTTCAAGCACCTCTTCCTCTCGTAAAAAGAAAACATGATGCCCGTCCACGCGAGAACCGCAATCTAATATTCACCTCGGAACACCACTGTATTCCGTGTGTGCTGTATTTATAGCTGCTGTTGACCAAAACGAAAGACCCATCCTTTGGTGGCTCAGCTTTTTTTAAAGGCAGCCTAATGCGCGAGCTTTGGACCCGCTTGTGACTTGTGCTCGTTGGCTCCTGCAATGGCGCATGGGCTTGATCTTGTTCAATTAAATCCTCTGCTCGTAGCAGGTTCCTGCCGATGCTATCCATCTTCATCTTTCCCAGAAAATTATGAGGCTCTTAATGCTGCATAAATATCTACCTACGTTTGTTGGAGTGAACAGAACATTCTGTCCAAGTTCCTTTGCCACATCTGCACCTTTCGACGATGGCAAGTCGAGGATAGCGACGTTAGCCCCCGCCTTCACAAGAGTTTCCACGGTGCCACGACCAAGTCCTGAGGCGCCTCCGGTTACCACAGCAACCAATCCCTAAACGCAACTTACATTGTGCTCGCGCATAAATGTTTATATTACCGCCCAATGCTCTAAAGCGACTTTGTCGACCGGAAACGCGACGCCACCCTTAGGACGCTGAACAGCAAAACTTCCCCCTGGCTACAGTGTACGACAATAAAGGGAATTCGCGTCGATATCAACAGAATCTTTTGAATCTCAGAACGTGACAGGGTAAACGAACGATGTGCGACAAGAAGCCCGAAAACCCGGAATGGTAAGTTTCATTATGCAGTGATACGTAACCGTCAAGGATACGAATTCACGCAGTTCCCATACCCTAAGGCTGGGCCTACATGTTTAAACTTAGGGCATCAGCGGTTTCGATATATCTGATAATAACAGTGTTGAATACACTTGGTTGCCGCGAAGAACTTGCTAGGTTTCCACATATTCATCACCATTGTACATTAATGCACAAAAAAAGAAACAAAAACGAAGACATGAAGTTTTGGATAGCAATAATCAACCAGAACAAGCTCAATGACAATGTACACACTATGAGCTGTTCACTTAATAAGTTATGAGAATATTAATCCAAAGGACCAACTAGCCCTTGACATCATGCACGTTAAATTAAGACTTAATGCTGCTATACTCGAATTCTGACACGACACATTTGAACCGTCTGTGAATATAAATAGAGTGAATATTACCTAAACATAGGTTAGAAGTGCTAGTTGATAGTCGGAGCAAGCATGACTTGCTAATGAACTGATTTCAGAGCTATGATACAAATGAGATGCACATTTAAATTAGGAGACTTCCATTCAGTCGGATTCTTCATCAGACGAGACATTTCGCTTCGATGGCCTCGATTTCCGCCGGCTAGATGAAGTTGATGACTGACTATCCTGAAATGTTCACGCATACAAATTTGGTAAGTGTCGAAAAAAATTACGGTAATAACTATCTCAATGTACATGGAGAGAATCGTGAACACTAATTAATACATTTCCAGGAGACTGACCTCGTTGTCCCTCTTAGAAGGAGTTCGATCTCGGGAATCGCCGTCATCCACAGCCGCTTTTTCCTTCTGATTACTACCAGATTGACTGCCACTATCACTTGTTCTTCCTTTCAGGAGAGCCATAGGATCTCCACCGGTGATCTTCATCCAAACTGCTTCGAGTAACATCGAATCATTGTAGATATCGCTTCCCTCGATATTGTACAACTGAAAGGTGGACTTTATCCATAGAACCGCGACAGAAATGCCAAAAAAACTGCAAAGAAAAACCTACCCTGGCGTTTTCACAGAGCAGTTTCACATCACTTCCCATTTCTTCAATTGTCGCATACCTGACGAAGTATAAATTCAGTTACATCCGGAACCGAAAAGCGGAAAGCTACAACTGGCTTACCGTCCTTTGTCAATCTTTTTCTTAATTCTTGCGAAATCCATAGGATTGTGCACAATGTCGTAGTAATCTGGCAACCGGCCGTTTGTGTCGGTCAGGCTCAGGGCTTCGATAAACGTACCGTTTGTGCGCAATTTCTCTAACCAAATCTGTTCGTTTTGAAGCCGACGTAGTATTTCCGTACCCCTACCAACCATTCTTAATAAAAATAACATACTGCAGTACGTAATAGCAATTAATCACGATAAGCAAAATCTACCGGTGGGTTGTCTCACTGTCATCGACTTCTGGGCTGGCCTTGCCTTCCTTTCTTGCCTTCTTCGTTCATCCTCGGTCTCAGCCTTGTTCGCTTCGGCTTTTTCTTCCTTCGCCATGTTTCTTCTTCTTTCTGTAACAAAGAAAATGCGGCGCAATAGCACATGTACGTCAGCCATAAAACAAAACATCACAAACCCGCGTCGTCTATCTGTTTCAGCCACTGATCATCCGACATGAGATCCGTTGAATAGTCAACCTTGAATACCACAACAATTCCATAAACAACAGAGTAAAAGTTCGAAGCATAAAGTCAAAACACTGGCTCCTAAAAACCGCACCTCACGTCTACGTCGTCTTCCTGTCGCATACGGATCCTCCTTGATAACTCCCTCACGCTGAGCCCGTTCTAATTCTGCAAACTCATCAGATGCCTTCAGAATATCGTGCGGAATCTCATTCTCTTCTAGGAGACGGGGTTTTCTGAAAAAAATATCATAAAATCACAAAACCAATCGCCATTAATGCACAGTTCATTGGAATTTCAATATCACACCTATGAAGTTGTCCTGCTCTCCTCCCTTCGTCGATCAATATCCATCGACTGGAATAGATTGAATTCTTCTTCAGATCTGGCTATCATTTGATTTATTGTTTCGTCGTCCGGAACTTCATCATCTTCATCATCCTCAGATTCAGCACTGAAATTGTCACTTACGGAAAATTGCAAATTTCAATACATTTCGTTAATATATCGAAAGCGAGAAATTCCACCGATCTCACCGAATGATCTGCTCCAGCATTTGCTTTCTTTCCGCTCCTGTGGATCGCTGATCGAATTTTCCAGCTTGGATAACTTTCTCGTCAACATTGAGCTTGTACTTGGCCGCTGCTAAGATTCGTTCCTCTACAGAATTCGTCGTGATCAAACGCAATACTCGAACTTCTCTCTTCTGACCGATACGATGAGCACGATCCTGAGCTTGCATATCCTGAAAATACAAGCGACTAGAAACATTGGTTGACAAATTAAGGAATTTTCATTCTTCGCTACTCTTCTTATTACTTGGAATATAAGAAATGGATACATTTGACAAACAAATATTTCAAGAACCTGGTGTGGATTCCAATCCGAATCAAAAATGATCACAGTATCTGCCGTTTGTAAGTTCAATCCTAATCCTCCAGCACGAGTAGACAGCATAAAGAGGAAATATTCACTATCCGGAGCATTATACAACTCTAAGAGTTGACCGCGTTCATCTGGCTTAGTGCTGCCGTCAAGGCGAAGATATCTCCATTCTGGAATAGAACGTTAAAGGTCAAATCAGAGATCACTCTACACTTACGGAAACTCAGTCTTACTTCGATAGTTAAAGAAATCTTCGATAATTGTCATCATGGTGGTCATTTGACAGAACATAAGTACACGATGCCCTGTCGCTTTCAACTTTGGCAGAATGCGGTCTAACAATTCCAGTTTACCAGAAACCCGGTACAAGTCTTGCCTAAAGAATAAAAGACCACTCATAAATACCACTTGTACCGTACTTCTCCAATACTTTCAGAAAATAGAACATACCCTGAAACCTCGTCAACTTTCCAGAACGCTCGACATGAATCTTCTACCGACTGGAAGAGGAATGGGTGATTACACAACTTCCTAAGGTGAACCACCGTATTCATCAGTGCACGTCCACCAGATTGCTGAAAACTCATATTATTTTCACTTATGTTGAATCGCTCTGATTTTACATCACTTGCATACCTGCTTGCTATCGATGAGCAATCCTTTTTGCATGTGCTTGTAAAGCACTTTCTGTAAGGCTGACTGGTCACATTTAATGACGTATTCCGTTTTATCCGGCAGTTGTGATTCCACCTGAATTATGCATTTTTATAATGTGTCATTCGAAACGTCTCTTACATCGCCTCTTATCCGACCTCTTTCTTCAGCCTTCTCAAGAGGAAGGGTCTCAGCACTTTATGCAAACGTCGAATGATCAGCATAGTTTCTTCTTGATTCAGTTCCACCTTAAGAGACAACGCTTTTTAGGCTGAATTTTCTCGTCATTTCTGAACTGAAGTATAACGAGAACGCACAAAAAACCTGGGTAAATTAATTGTAAGGAAAAAAGTAGAAAAGAAAGGTGTTCTTTTGAGACAAAGGCTGACCTTCTCTCCCGTAGTAGCAAATGGAGCATTGAACCATTGCTCGAAGGTACCGCATGAACTAAAGATTGAGGGAAGCAGGAAGTTCAAAAGTGCCCACAATTCTGGCAGCTAAACAATGACACATGATAAAGAGATCATACACAAACAAAATCGTAAAGTAGTGGAATCGAACATTTGTAACCTGCAAATACCTTATTTTGAAGAGGAGTACCAGTGAGGAGCAGTCTATGCTGTGCATGGAAATAACCGTTCAACATGAGTGTGAGCTTACAGTTGTGATTTTTCAGTCGATGTCCCTCATCAATGATCATATACTTCCAACGAATCTACAGAGAACCATTGAAATGTGAGTAATAGAAAGATTTCAGAATCCATGACAGCGTATAACAACCTTTCCCAGCAGAGCCTTCTCACGAATTACGTACTCGTACGTCGTCATCAAAACATTGAAAGCCCCTTTTCGGATTTGCCCTTCGACACGCCGACGAGATTCTTTGTTGCCCTTATACACTACCTGAAATAGATTACTCATATCCGACTTCAGAAACCAAAGAATAACGGAGAAAAAGAGCTACCTTTACTACAGAAGGAGCCCATTTTTCGAACTCCATATTCCAATTTGAGAGCGTAGACAATGGTACGATAACAAGGTACGGCCCGTTATTCTGCTTTACCTCCATCAAGTACGTAATGAGAGAAATGGTCTGAAAATACAGTGCGAACTTCAAACCAGAGATTTTTTGCGGAAGAAAAATACCTGAATGGTTTTCCCCAAACCCATCTCATCCGCCAAAATTCCATTCAAATTGTTGTTATAAAGTGAAACCATCCACTCAAGACCTTTCAGCTGAAAACAAAGTTTCCCTCTGAGAAAAATTCTTTAGAAGAGCAAGGCCACAAAGAACAAACCTGATAAGGCTTCAACAGCAAAGTATCACTACCCATAGTAGAATGTTGCTGCACAATTTTCTCCTTGATTCTATGTGCGGTGGCGTAATAATCAGCCATTTGTTTGCGGTTTCTTTGATCGTACTCGTCCTCCTCGTTTCTAGCCTTAATTTCGCAGTAAAAGAGAATAAAACAGGCATTTTAATACACGGAAATGCATCCTATTCTATATTTGATTTTCATTATCACACCTTCTCAAGGATAATTCGGGCTTTCGTTTCCTCGTCCATACCGGCATATTCATCAACGTCTTTCTTTGCGGGTGCTGGTGCGGGAGCTTCCTCTTCGTCCGAATCGGAGTCATCAGAGAGCTGGTCTCGTGGAACAACCTAAAACATCCGCACGATTGCTTACACTTTAAAAAAAAAGCAGTTGAACCAAAAGAGTTGAACCAAGTGTTTGTGAGTCTATATAAAAACCAAGCAGCTAAATGCCGAAAGGTTACCTACTGCCAATGATCTAGTTATACGGACGAGAACAATCGAATAGGCAGACCTTAGTTATGACATGAAAGAAAGTTCCGGTGTAGTCAGTGCACCTCATTAACGTTAAAAAACGTACTACCTCGAATCCAGGATGGGTTTCAAGCCAAACTTCCAATTCATCGGGTTTCGGTGCTTCGTCGCCTTGCAGAATTTTTCCAGTGGATGTGTCGCGCACATGAACGCGAGCTTCACCTTCTGAACGGAGAGCAGCTCGAATGGCATTTCAATACTGTTGAACGATATAATACAAAATTATTTACCTTCCATCTTAGACATTTTCTTCTCTTCCCTCTTCTTCTTTTTCTCTGTATTTTGGTGTTGCCGTACAAGACTGCACAGACTTTCCACATATTCATCGGTTTGTTGTAACAAGTACACTAGACGTTGATCCTAGAAACATTTCTTATTCTCCAATACAAAGGGAAACAATGGCTTCACATACCTTCTTCTCATCCAACAGTGCGCGGTAACCCTCTTCATCCTCCTGCATAAGTTTTTGCATTCGAAGTTTCTCATTCTTGATTTCATCTTTCTTTCGCTCACGCTCGTTGTTCTGGTGATAAGTTATAACCGCCTTCTTAACCTTTTGTGTTTTCAATAGATTGTTTCTGAAAAAAAAGTAATTTTACATCAAGTGAAAGAGCGCATCCCTCAAAAATATAATAAGAATCAAAATTCACCTATGATATTCCTTGAACTCTCTCCCATGTTGAATTATGGCCTGCATGAGATCAGTATGCTTCTGACGTCGTTTCCTCTCCTGCTCCATCTTCTGCTGCTTCTCGAGTTTTTCTGTAACTCTTGCTTCTCGCAGTGATTGCCTCTTTGTTCGGCGATATGCATACGGATTCAAAGCAGTCTCAAGCGTCGTGTCTCTGCGGAGTGCTCCCATTACTTCACTGCGGACCTGGATAATTCTTACAATTATGTAAGGCGACTATAAACTCCAAAAAAAGAATCGTAAATTTCCAAACAGTTGCAAAAGTCTGATGCATTATAATGCCCCATTCACATTTCAACAGACCAGCTCGTTCCTTTGAACACACTGCACAAACCCACTCAATACTTACCTGTGCTTGCAAATTTACCAGTCGAAGTGCACGGAGTTCGATCTCGGCCTTTATTCTGAGATGTGGAGGAAGATCAGCAGGTAGATTACTCAACTCTTTGATACGAAGACCAACTCGGTTTTGTATTCTGAACAGTATTGAATGGTGGGTCAGCAAACACCACGACAAACTGCCACAAGCTCTCCATACGATAAATTCTGAAAACATGTACCTATATTCACGCTCCTTCAAAAGAGATGCAGGATCTATGCCTACAGGAGTTGGCAGGGAAGTTGGTCTTGCGCAACGCTGCTGATGAATGTTCAAAACCTGAAATGGCGATCGTGAACTCCATCACCCCCAAAGAACTGCAGAAGTTGTGACGTCTATCAACAACCGTGAAGTGTATCGAAGTAATGGCGGACGAATGGTGAGTAGATACTGACCTTCATAAGATCGTAGGGCAACTTTTCACCATTTTCGCCTTCTCCAGGAAATTCATATGGCTCCGGTAGGAGAGACGTTGGCTTGTTTTTCATAAAAACTGCCTCAGCAGCAAGAGCTGGTGGCACAGGCTCGTTCCTTGCCAACAATTTGTACACGCTAACCTTGAATTGCAAGCAGTTCATACCAAATAAGAATGAGTATAACTGCTGACCAACGTACCTGTGCCCGTAGCTGATTTAGCTGTGCTGGAGTGATCTGTGCTTGCTGCTGCCCTGCTGAAGGTGAAGGTTGTTGAGCAACCTCAGGTAGAGGAGCACCTTAATCCGAAGAATTGAACAAATTGTGTTTAAAGCATTACAGAATACAATTCGTTGGGAACAACTTGCTTTGAGCGTAAGAAAGACCTAAGAGATACCTGTAAGCTTCGACTTTAGCTGCAACATTTTCTGATATCGAGGATCTGTTGTCAGCTGTTGCTCCTCCATTGTTGCAACAGAGTTTTCCAATTTCGCTATAGTGAGTTCCTGACCCTAGGAGAATACCAGTGACATCTGACAAAAGTCATCTAATCAGAAAATGACTTTCAAAGAAAAGTCATACATACCCTCAATATCGCAAACAGAGGGGGGACAAAAAAGCCACCTCCCTTCACCCTTCGAACGAAATAATTATGATTTGCTGTATTCAAAACAATGTCACACTAAAATCTATCGGAAACCTCCATTATAGCCTTTTACCAAGACAACATCGGAAAATTTTTCCACGGAAACGCTGTGCGGTTCTGACTCAACGAGGCACCTCGACGGATCATGGGCCACTACGACCTTACTTCAAACCCTGATCGGAAGGGGTGTTGCTGATCATTATCTCTGCAAGCTATCCATACCTTCACTCTTCTGAAATTGTTAGCAGCTTTGGGCCTGAGCGATTACAGAAGGCCTCCTTAAGCTCAACAGTGACGGCGAATGACGTCATATTCTGAAGACGTTGAAGACAGTGGAGGAGAGCCTGCTTAGAATTATGGGGAGGAGACACCTGAGGAATACTTTGCGACTGAGTTATTCCCCAACGCGCAATCTTGTGAACGAATTTTTGTGATTTGCGACATGGAAAAATGACAATTTTTGCGAAAACTAGGGGATGTTCTCTCACAAACGCTACCGATATTTCCGTATGTGATCAATGTACTGCATATTCAAGAGACTGAAGCGCTACAGGTATTAAGCTGCATAGAAGTGGAGGACAGTTTTTTGGTGTTGAACATCTAATCTAGGGCGCGCCACGCACCCTACCTCTTAATTGAATCGTAGTGCCAATGATGTTGAAAAGATTTTGTGGCAAGGGACGCGTCAGTCCTAATTTGGTCTCCAACGGTAAGAGGGTGCAGTGGGTGAGCCTGCTACTGATGTCAAATGTTGGCCAACGAGTCTGTGTCCATAGTCACAAAGTCATAGGCTGCTACCCCAGTTTTTTCCCATGTTATTTCTTACAGTGTGTTTTGGAAATGTATGTATATGTACTTGTACTCGATACACATTTAACGTTACGAAAAGTATTGTTCACAGTATAGTCAGACAGAGTTAGACATTAAGCCTAGGAGGGAAACTGTAAGGAATTCCCATGCTGCCGGGGAAAGACTGCTGCTGATTCCGGCTCCTTACCTTAAGCTTAGAACTGAGCCGTTTAGAATAAAATTATTTGCTTTTCATAGGCTTGAAGTACTAGATCGCTATCCCGCCTTACTGATCAGACCTACTTCCTTCTCATACAATTGATAAAGATGATGGGTACAATTTGTCGGCGCAATTGATTCGCGGACGGGTGGCTCCCCCACTTTCTTCACGATTTGGGGCGCGGCCGCGGCAAACCCGGCCGAGTCGATAGTGCCCGCGAACTGTGTGGGTAAATTTGAAAACGCATCACCACCACAGTTCGCACTATCGACTCGTCCGCGCTCGCCGCGGCCGCGCCCCAAATCGTGAAGAAAGTGGGGGAGCCGAAGCGGTAGGACGAAAATTCCCTTTAAATTTTTTGTTTTGAACGATACTGTTTCTTCATTTTCAGTGCATGTTACTTTAACCTACACACATATATTAAATGTAGGCCCTTTATCAGGACAATCCCAGTTGGGAAGACAGAAAATTTAAAGGGATTTTCGTCCCCAACCCTTCGGGGAAGCATACCTTACGGCCCAGGACATGTATGGGAAGTCAGTATATATGCCACTACACCACCTCCGCCCATAAACGAGTACAACTGTTGGCTGATCGTGCTCATGGGTCTGATGTTACTCCTACCCTTTCTATAGGAATCATACTCGGGAACTTATTGCCATTTATGAATCACACGCATCATCAATGGCACTCTTCCCCTCAAAATGAAAATGTATCCTCACCTGTGCCGCCATGGCTTCGCCTTGTATAGCCTGCTGTTGTGTGACAAACTCGCCGGCAGGCTGCGGCGGCTGAGCCGTGAACTGCTCAAAGGCAGGTCGACTCATCTGACACGGACCCCTCTAAAAAATCGACACTGCAACGGAAAGAGTAAAGAATAAACTAGAGAGCGACTTCACCGCTTTCACCACAACATCTAAGGAAACAATAATGAACAGTAATATGTGTCGCTACTCTAAAAAATGATCTATAAAGGAAAAATGTGCACCCTCGTTCAAACACATTTAAGTGGGCGCGTATCGATCAATGTTGGGCACGGTGCCAGCTTCGGCATTACGGTGCCAATCCGCGCAAGACTCGCTTCCTAGAGCATCGCTGCTGAGCCCCGCCCCCAAAACCGTGCCAACTACCTTTCGAACCTAAAAATCTATAAATCTTTGAGATTTCGCGCGTTTTTTCGTTTATTTGCTTCATTGCGTTATTTAGTCACGTATCGATTTTTCGGATGAATTACTCAGTGTATAATTTGTTAGGAGGTGAACAGTAAAAAAGGCGAGGGTTTTCTTTTGAGCAGGAAAAGCCTGTGACTATTTCTGGAATTTTGGAGTTGAATGTTCATGTGTAAAGAAATAATCACTGATATTTTTGAAAGAATAAATAAATTTCTTATTTTACTGCTATACGCTCGGCATCTATGTAATCGACAAGATCGTGCATTTGGAGTGCAGTATTTTTTCCTAAAGCGTTTCTCCGAACATTTGACTTATCAGAATAAGTAGTACTGGCTTAACAGGTTGGCTCATATTGTACGGGTTCTATTTATTTTTCGCTTAGAACGCTTTGCGTGGGTCAATTGGGTTCCATACTTGCTAGAAGTTTTTTTCTTGGTAAAATATGTTGATACAGCATTGATGGAGAATCAATCGCAGGGATACATAATCCATATGGCTTTGCATTGTTTCAGTGGACTTTAGC